TTGGGTGGTTTTTTCCGGATCGTTCAACAGATTTTGAGAATTTGAAGGCAACCCAACTATTTGAGGGTGGCATTTGGGGGTTGGTTGAAACGGAAACCAAAACCGAAGCCCGTGGTTTTTGAGACACACCAAGCCCAGCTGAGTCGATTCCGGGCCTGTCAAAATCCTTTTTGCTTGGTGCGGGACCTACTTCAAAGTGGAACAAACCGGAACAAGGGTTGCAACATGTTGCAACAATTTCTACCAGGCTAGTCAGGCAGCTGGTGTTGGGCTTCGGTGGGGCTCCCGGCCATGTGGACAAAGCTATGTTACAACTTTTGCATTTAAGCTTGCTTAGTTTTTGGAAGATTGGTGCCACAACCAGGTTGGCGCAGCTGGCTTTTGGTGATTATTTTGGTTGCCGCTATGCACATGGATGTCCGCCTTGGTCTAAGTGAGGTCCCTTGAGGCCAACATCAAGTGCGTTAAAGGGCCCGGTCTTTCATATTTGCCTCACGTGGGAGAGGGGGATAGCCAGATCTTCCAATCTCCGACTTTGGTGGGTTCATCTCGGATCAAGATTAAAGAACAAATCCTCCAATGTCAGCCCGCTTTATTCCCCCCCCTGTCCTTCAGCAAAGACATGGTCAGAACTGAGAACTACAGTGGATGGACAAAACCCTTCACCACCTCATGAAACCCTGGTTTCTGATTATCCCCCTGTAAATCCCGACAAACCATGGTTTCAACGTGTCATTTCGTGGCCTCGACGTGTTTTTGTTTGCGGGCGCACGGGTTATTTTTTTCAGCCCCAGAACCGGCGCCCAGGAAGGATGCGGCGCCCAAAGTCGAGAGCAAGAACTGCGGCCGGGAGCTGGGGGGCAAGAAGAAGCAATGCGATCCCAGGCCTAGAGTCGACCGCTTCACAAGGGCTTGGCCTTTGAAGGGTTTGCTGGATGGAGATTTCTTTTTGCCGTGCAAGGGAGGACCTCACCAAGTCAAGGGTGAAAGCATGCTGGTGTTTTTGGTCGGTGTTCAACATGTTTTCTTCTTTGGTTTCTATGATCCAGTTGTCTACCCTGCCAGGGCCAGCTGGGGATCTTCAGAGCCATACGCGCTAGGACGGTCGGGGGCTGCGTGTGGACGGCGGAAGACTTGGAGAAGGACCCAAGCGTCTGGGAGCAGCGGCGTCAGATGTACTGGGAGACACAAAGGCCGGCGCAAAAAAATCGCGCGCGTGCATCGTTGGACATGTTGGTGTTTTGCGCGGTTGCTCTATTTTTTCCGCGCCGGGAGAGGGCGTTTGGCAGGTGCATCTGCAAACTCAGACAGAAGCAAAGGGCGCGGTAAACGGGGCCTAACTAAGAAAAGACCGTTGAGCAGTTGGGCTACGCCCCGGTGGGAAAGGGAAGGCACATAGATGCCTTCAGCGGGGAGGAGGGCAGCATTTTTGAGCGGGTCAGAGGCTCACTTTGAACATGTCACTGGTCACCAGGGTTGTGGGATCACTCGGGGTTTATCCCCACTGTGGTACAAGGGAATCCTTGGTATGGGGGTTTAACCTTTGGGAGCCCTTTCTGTCGCAATCACAGAAGTGGTCATTGCCCACAGCTCTGCTGGTCGAATGCCATTTCTCCCAAAAGGGACCCCATGATTCATGTCCCATCGGGATTCTTGGTAACCAGACCCAGCGACTCCATTTGACTGTGTTGCGAGCCAAAAGAAACCACCCTTTAAGAGCCAAAGGGAAAATGGTTGGTGACCTACTACAAAGGTAGCTGGGATCCACTGCAATAAAAATAATGATTTTTCTTGTCCAAAAGGAGCATGGAGCGAAACATGAAGTTCCCTGTCACGACAGAAAGATGACCGCAGACCAAGACCAGGAAATCCTTACCACTTGCAATATTTGGGTGTGAAATCGAACCATGCTCACCTTTGAAGTCAAGATCCTGCCCTAAAGTTTAGGCGAACCCCGGCAAGGTCGTTTGTATCACGCATGCGCCCATTGGCCCGACTTCGTCCCTGGCAGGTACACGCAGTGATGTCCGCTTCGGAGCCCGCAGGACCAATGCTAGTTCCCCCTAAGATTTCAGAGTTTGGGGATTCCTTTCATTCATATTATTGGTCCTAATTGAAAATTACTCTATGGTCCTACGGATTGATTGAAAGTAAGTATTCCTGTAAACCGATTGTCGCTTCAGCCCTGCGTGTTCCCATAGCCGGACTCTGCATGCATCTTGGAAGCTGTCTTGAGCGCAAGGTTGAGTATATAATCCCGGCTCCGTGTCTCCGTGTCGCTGTGTTGATTGTTTTGAGGTGCCGCCTTTTGGGTCGTTTTGGAGTGGTGTCAAAGGGAAAACCAAGAGGGAAATAAGGAATTCAATCACGATGCTGGACAGCAACAGCCCGGCTGACAATCTAGAGAAGCCCATGTTCTGTAGAAGAACTGTCAACAGTAAGCTTGATATGTGTTGTGCTGATACTTCTAGTCTTGAAGACTTGAAACCTTTAAGCTAATTGAGGCTTCATATGCACAATTTAACATGTCACACGATCATGTGACCATATTCTACACAAGGATCACCCTTCAGGCTGGTGCTATCGAAGGTAAGCCAAACATGTAAAGCTTCTCTCACGAATGCGAACATCCGCACATGCATTGGCGCTTTGAGACTGACTGAGGATAAGACAAGGCCAAAGAATGCGGTCGAACACCGTGGAGGCATCACAAACTCACGAAGTGCTCTCGGGGATATCTTATTCCCGGCTTGTGAATCATTGGAATCCCCCTTTGGTAATCTTCGTGATCGTGGCGAGTGAATAAAACTGGCTTTTGACACCCAGCCCGGGTCAAAGTCTTGCTTTTGCGGTTCAGCCAAGAACCGTGTTCGATCTTTAGGGGAAAGCTAAACTAGAGCCAGCAAGATGAGCTACATTCAAGGCTTTGGCTCAGTGGATGTTACCCGAGATACTGAAGCAGAACTCTCGACGCATGTGCCGTGCTTGCGGCACCTGTTCGCATCACCAGATATCACCAGCAGCGGAGCGAGCGGTGATATCCGGCGCACCGGACAGCGCAGAGGAAAAGATGAAAGATGAAGACCAGAGCAGAAGCTTTTTGCTGTGAACCCCAGTGGGCCAAGAAGAGGGCTAGCCAAATGGTTATAGTATCCTAACCAGAAGGTCTTAGGGGCGAACTGGGGCCTATTTGGTGGTTTCTAAACGCTTCGCTAACTCCCAACCCCTCTGCGCAAGTGTATCTGCAAATCAGACACATTTGGACCCCTTGATACGGTCATACTTAGTTAGCACAACTCCGCTCCTAAGTCCAACAGTGTCCAACTTGCAAAGAAGCATCTGCACCAATCTGCAGTGCAGCGAGCAGACCCCAAAGTCGGCCAGAAGCTCTTCCTTTGGTCTTTGCTGGAGCAGACTTTTGAGAATATGTCTCTGTCTCAAAATGGGGCACCCAAACAATAGGGGGGTTCCCCTTTGTCTTCCCTTCCAAACAAACACAAAAAGGGCGCCCTCAAAAAGATGCGCCCATACTACCAGGTCGTCAAGTGCGAACCAGCCGTTTTGACCTTTGATTTTCGTTGTCAGGTTGAAAAAGAAGCATATTACCCAAGAATCTCCAGCGCGGGTCTTCCCAATTGTCGCAAAGCGCACAAACCTAGAACAGATAGCCAAATTGACTACATGTTGCAAGCGGAGATGAAGGCGAATCTCGAGTTTGCCATGTGTGACTACTTGCAGCATCCTATCTAGGGTGTTCAAAAGGAATGCTTTTGTATTGAATGTTCAGTTTCAGAAGATCGCCGTTCGATTCTTGTTTTTGCAGAGCACTGGGGCAGCCGTTGCGACAAAGAAAGCGCGAAGCCGGAACTACCAAACCCAGTGGGAAGACAAATGTCACTCGAAAGGCCACAATGTGACTCATTCGAGAAAAATGGGGGACGCCCCCCAAAACCACCCCCCCCCCCCCACACACCAAAAAACAAAGACAAAGGCAAATCTGGTTTTCCTCTTCAGGATCCCTTTCAATCCAACCCACGAAGGGGCTCCGTTAAACCGATCGCACAACGCATTTGCAGCATCAGTGATGGTTCCTCAATGATTCATCCTCGTCGATGATGCCACACCTAAATGATGTGATCCTTGAGTTTGAGAGAACCAAGATAGGGCCCTGATACCGCTTCCGCGTCAGATATTCTCGGCTCTGCATTACTCACAAGAGCAATGGTATCCCGGCTCTTTCCATTCCAAACCCCAGAACACACCTTTTGTGTAGAGGACAGTCCTTTGGAGGGCTTGTGGGTTCCTTCTATTGACATCCAAAGTGTGTTCGCCCACACCATCAAATGAACTCTTCCAGGGCGTGACCTAAAACGAGTTCTGGCCTGAAAAGGACACAAAGTCCTTTTCCGTTTTCGGCACATCTACTTGTTTCAGGAGCACACTTTTGGGACATTGCTGTAACACGAGGTGATTGACTTGAAATCGCCAGCCTCAAACGAAAAACCAAATGTTGCCCTAGAAAGGAGCCGTCGTGGCTTTTCGGTTACACCCCTGCGGTCCTGGGGCTGCTATGATTTGCCCAAACTACCGTTGGTGCACAAAAGCCTACACCAATTGGTAGGCGGCTTATGTTTCATCCATCCAAAAGATGATGCAACGTGGTTGTTGTCCATCCAGGCAACACCTGTCTTCAGCGTTCGTTGCCCTAAAGGCTTCCAAAGGCTGAGGGTTGTCTTCAAGCACCAAAAAGAGCATGTCCATAATTGGTATCAAGACGAACAAAATGATAAGAAATGAGTGGCCATTCAGGGAAACGTCTCGCCTTCGACCGGATGAAGAGAACATAGAACAAATTATCACTTGTTGAAAGCCGACGATTGAAAATGTATCTTTTATTTGGTCGCCTTGTTGGCTCCACTAAACCTACCCGCTAGGCTGATGGGGCCCCGAACCCAATCTTCGGGGGCCAAGCACTCCTTCCATTGTACCACAACGTGCAGGCCGGCACCTGTGATGAAGAGAGAGCCGGTGGCCAAAGCGACTCCTGCTCAGGCGACGGGGGGACGGTTTGAGGCTGGCCTTGCGTCAAAGCCACTTAAAACCCGCAGAATGTTCCCACAACTGCAGCTGCAGGCACTCCCAATTTGTGCATGTTGTGAGACACTCAAAATCCCGATTGCATGGAGCTAAGAAGCCCTCACCAAAATGCACAGTGGTTTTTGGGTTTGACCAACTACGCCTTACTTTGCCGAGGGCTGGGAATGCAATGCCATGCAAGCTCTACGGAAACTTGGACTTTTTTTGGCGGCAAGAGGCCACCCTGGTGCGCGCGAGG